TGCTGTTGTGTTGTCGGGCTGTGAGCTGAAAAGCTACAGCCGGCTGTGTGCGTACAGCAACCGTGTGTGAAAAGTGGTCAATAAAGAGATGCTAAAAAGCAGCGGGTCTGCCGTGGTACAAACTCAGGACTGTAAGCTGTCATCTGTGAGGCGTGAGCGGTGTTTGTTTTTAACATAGTTCACGGTGGAGAACAGCTGCCGACATAATGTAGATCCAAAGATCCATAATTGGCCTACCTGGGGTTGAAAGTCTCGATAAATGCACGGCGTTTCGGCGGGTACACCGGCTTCCGCGAGTGTGACGCTTATTTTGAGCGATGAAAAAATAATAAGATATAATTTTATTTTTATATTTCAAAATCACAATAATCTTCCAATTTAGAACAAGTTAAAAAAAGAACTAAACACAAATAAAATACACTTCAGCTAAATTCTTTATTATTATATACTATTTTCCCAAACCACCTGGAGCCGCAAAATAAGGACTAAAGAGCTGCATGTGGCTCTGGAGCCGCAGGTCGCCGACCCCTGTGCTATACATATACAGCATGAGCACACACTGCACACAGGAAATACGTATACATGTCCAACACGCTCTGAAATCGTGATGAAACATGCACAGGGCTGAGCAAACACACCAGCCTAACGCTTACAATTAATCATTCCTCTCACTGACAGTTTGCTCTTTATGGTTTCACGCACTGAGATGACAGGTTAAGGGAAGTGCATCACAGAGCGGCCAAGCAGGATTTGCTCGAACACGATAACTGCATAATGACGAGGATGGGAACGACAGCACGATGTGCAGGACTTCGTCTTTTTGCTTATGTTACCGTTGCTGATCTTCTAAAGATAGACACACCGCCATCACAACAGCAACCACAGTTATAAACGTTACCTTGTTTTACCAGACTTCTCAAAAGTCTTGACCAGGAAGTCCGTCATATTCCGTCCGGTTAAATTCAGCAAGGTGTCTGTCGTGTTCTGTATCCTCTGTGGAAAAAACCAAAAAAAAACAAAACAGTTGAATTGAAGCATTTTTTACAACTATTGGTTTGTTATTTGGGTCAAAATAGTGTTTTCTGGACCACTTGGTGGCACCAAAAACAAGACCGACTCACAACACCTCATAAATATGTTATTGGTACCTCCCCGTACCAATAACATACTGGTTGGTTCGGAGAGGTGCTAGCAAACAGATATATTAAGAGACGTGTTTCTGGCCAGCTGACGAATGTAGCTGCAATAGCTACTCTCCTTTCGACCCTGCTAATAGAAGCTGCTTGCTGATTTGCTGCTGTTTCTGCTGGACAGCTGGGGTGATCGGAGGCCTTTATTTTCACTGAAGGCAACGGCCTCCTGCTGCTAAAAATGAGATTCATCAGAGCGACACGTTAAAGCTGCAGACCATAAAAGCAAAGCGATGAGCTGAAAATGCCCCATGGAACTACTCGGTAATAATCGTCCGCGGGTTTGTCAGCACCACTGAGTCAGGCGATCCATCGTTAATATAGAAACATGGCTTCGAGCAGCTTTGAGTTTAAGATGCAGAAGACTTTTCCCAAACACTGTGTAGCTTTAATAATGCAGAGATGACCTAAAGGCAATGTTTGTTGATGCAGGCTCATGCAAAACAGGTGCAGTGGCTTTTATTTTATTTACTGTCTGAAAGGATATAAAAGCACTTTGCTTTGCCCGCGTGCCGTGGAGCATCCTGAGTGGAAAGGCTGACCACAGACAGACAGGCAGACGCCGGCCGACCCGCCCCGGAAAAAACTCATCCAGTAAAAAAGCCCAACAAAGCTAGAGAGCGTTCTGCATGTGGTATCTATCCACTCCACCGTGGAGCACATTCCCCCCAACTCTTATCATAATAGTCAATTAAGCCTAGCTATGGGAAGCCTGGCTGAAATCTACACCCCTGCCAAAGCTGGGGAAAGCTGTTTCTAATGTCAAAGGACCCTAATTAGATACCCTTCTGTGGATAAATGGGTACATTCAAACAACCAATTAAGCGAGGGTGCGACACATTGCTATGAATACACTCCACCTTGTGCAGAGTGATGCACACACACACACACACACCGACCCCAAGCTGCTTTAGCCCTGCTTATTTAAAGAGCTAACACTATGCTAATTAGTAGAGTGATCCTTGATAAAGTGCAATTGAGACCCCTGGACTGAAATGCAGTTTACCAACACCACCCACCCCAGCTACACTGGTTATCTGCCCTTGTGTACAAACAGCTTGATGTGTGAGCTTTGGGCAAACATAGTATGTACCTCTATACATATTACACTCATTCTTTCTCACTTGTATTATATGTCAGATTACTTTAAAAGGCTCTGCGTTCATGAATTGCTGTAAAACGCACCAAATCATTAGTTTTTTGATTTTTTGATGATCTGAAGAGAGATTAGAGAAACTGTGAAAAATCAAATGGGAGAGGGAAGCAAAGGAGGAGAATTTTATGGAAGATGGAAAGCTAAATTCAAAATTGGACATGGGAGAAAGAAAAGGAGGCGGAGATCTCAAATTGCAAGGCAAAAAAAAAAAAAAAACAAGCAGAAGGAGAATGTAGAGGAAGAAGAGGACCCATCTGGCTTATGAATCAGAGATAAGGGGGAGGAACAGCACAGCAACCTTGGTTTATCTCTGAACAAACATGCTTTCCTTTCGAAAAAGCCACAGGAACTGAGAAACAAACAAAACCAAGGAAAAAAAAATAAGAGCTTTACACTCCACTGTGTGTACAATGAGTTTATACCCGGGCATACAGTCGGCATGGGTCTAATTATTTTGGCCTTCGTCCATATCCCCCATCAAAAAGACTGAAATGGGGACATTATGCGATTGTGTAATACCTGGGTCTGCATCTCTTGTTCATTACCTGGAAACAGCTTCAGTCTGTTTGGCATTCTGCACGACATCAGTTCTCCAGCTTGATAGCTAGGTAAGCAAGAAGGGGTGAGGGAAATGTAAACTGAGGAGTAATCAAATCTGTTGAATGAGCTGGCATACTCGAGCACTGGAGAGATAAGAGAGCGTGCTGTGTTCATATTAATCTTGCCACCGGTTACATCGTGCTGCTCCTCAAAGGTGAGTTTTATCTGGTGCGCACAAAGAAAAGCAATCTCGGGGAAGAATCTTCCTTGCTTAAATATGTCAAATTGTACAGTCACCTGTTTTGCCACTGAATACTGTGGAGAATGGGGAATACAGAGTTAGTCATGCCACAATATCACAATACTCACTATAACAATCAATAGCATTACAATACAGCAGTTCTGCAACATTTAATACTACCGCAAGTGTCAATGCATGATGATACTTGTGTAATGGAAGAAGATAATGATTCAATAATGTTAAAGTCCAGGCTCTGGGGAGGCTAATCCATGACTGAGAGTGTTCAGCTGTATGCTTTTATTTCCAGGTATCCTTTTACCTATTTAATGCTGAAAAAAGAAGCTGTTGCCAATCCGAATCTTTCCAGATGTTTTGTATGGTGGGTCAAAGTCCCACTTCTTTAAGACATGGAGATCTCCAATACCACTGCCTAATATGGAGCCCTAATATGGAGCCCCAAACCATGACAGAGCCTCCACCGTGTTTTAAAGATGGCCGTAGACACTCACCGTATAGCTAACGGCTAATATCTAACACCGCTAACTAACACAGTAAGCGCTAGG